TAAAATTCGTCAACAAAATGTTTACAACAACAAATATCCGGCAGGTCGCACACACACACACAAACCAAAGATAATACTAACAATTCAAAAGAGAAGGAAACTTTAATTAAAAATTCTAGCTATTTGTTGTCTAGTTTTACCAAATACAAATTTGATAAGCTCTGCTTAATTAGTACAATCTATTTGACACCTCTTCGCTCATGAAACACGCTCACGCTTACGGCTGTCAAAAGTTAAATACTAACAACTTTACTTATAGTAGCAGAGACAAGAATGTCTGTCGCTATATTTAACGACATACCAGTAGGTGCAATGCCGTCGCTGTGGCATAGAAATTAATATTGACATCAAAGCGAATTTCGTGTTGCATACCAGTATGCTAAAGTGAAATGAACGAAACTTTAATTATGTGCTCACCAACGTGGCGGCTGGTTGCACTTAATTGCGCACTAACGAGGGTGTGAACTTGTGATAAATGTAAATATAAATAACCGCAAAGCACAACATACACACACACGCAAATAAATGTAAATAGTGTTATGCAAGCCCATTTATATTTCTAAAATATGCACGTGCGTGTGTGTATGTGTTTATTTTGGCGCTTGTGGGCCGCAAGGCTCGGGATGAGTGAAATGTTGACTGCTCGAGTAATTAAATTGCAATTTATTTAAATTCCCAGGCGCGTCCATTTGGGAACAACACATTTCGGTGTATATTATATGCTTACAACACTGCGAGTGTATGTTGCGGTTGAGTGTGTAAGGCTGTGGGTGGCTATTAACTACAACAGGCGTGCATATGAGGGTTGCGCCAGTGTGTTACACCAACAAGTCAATGTGTGATTTACAAATGTAGGCAACCACAGTGACATTGCCACCATGCGACCGCCGCTCGGTGAATCAACAAGTCGCTGTAGCTTTGTTCTGCCAGCTGTTTTTGTTCCTTTTGCTTTTGCCTGAGCGCGCAATTGGTCCCCGCCGCCGGGTTGGTTAAGTGGCTGTGATTTACGAGCATATCATGCTACATATACATATGTGCTTGTATGTTATGCCATACTAACTAAGTCTATTATTTGGGCATTTTGTTGATGATTTGTGCCGAAGTGGCTCTTTAGAATTTGAATATCACTACACTCTTGCGCTATTTATTGTGCCTTGATTAAGTGCCGATTTTAATGAGTTTTGATTATAATTATAAAGTATTATTTTCGCTGGAACAATGAACTATTGAAATAAAATCTTTTGGAACAATGACAACAACAGCCAAGTACTTCAGCTAACAAATTAAAATTAATCAATTGAAATGCATTTTAAGTGGGAAAGTTGTTGTTATAATTTTATGTACATAGTATGGTTCTTCTAAAAATTTAGCTCAGCCAGTTTTTGCAAGATTAGTTTCCTTCTTCATAATGAGATTAACTTCGCAGGCAATTTATGGCAATAATTTTCAAATCTAAGGGCTGTCTAGTTGTCATTTATAACTTTGAATTATTGTTACTCAGCAATCAATTAAAAATAATTCAGTGATCAGTATTTTAAAGAAAATCCCTACATCTAAACTCATTTCTCAATCTATACTTTTCGATATGATATACATACATACATGCATATGTATGTTAAGATTATTGTTTACTTTAAGAATATAGCTATATCTTCTGAGATAATTTTGTATAATATCTATACTATACTAAAAATTTCGAAAATAAAATAAAATATAAAATAATAATAATGGTAATAAAAATAAAAATTCTGGTCTAATCACATATTTCGACATTATGCTACTTATGATATTACAAACTATATTTTAAGTACAAAATAATTTTTCATAAATACCACATAAAACAAATCTTAAAATATAAATTTGTCATTAACACTTTCACATATTTCGACAATATGTCAGTATTTTAATACGATTTATCTTTATTATATTTTATTGTTAAATACAAATTTGATCTTCTATGTTTAGTTGAAAACTATTACTATTCAACAACATAAAATCATAGAATATTATTCTTGTAAATCAGTCTTCTATTGCCTAAACTTTATAGAGCATTAATTAACACTTTTGGCTAAAAAATTTTAAATGAGGCCTCTCCGACCATAAAAATATAATATTAAAATTAATGGTATGAAAACTTTCCTCGTAAATTTATTCAAGTTTTTGTTTGATTTGAATTTGGTTGAAATCACTGTTTCGATTTTCTCAATTTATAATATCCATCCATTGCTTTGAATACTCAATTTATTACCTATTTTGGTGTCTAACATAAAAACTACTTCTAAAAACTAAACACAAAAACAAAAACCTCTTTATAGTCTTAAGCTCCACGCTTTTGATGATTATGCAAATACAACCCTGTTTTAATACACCATTGAAAATTTGGAATTTTATAGATATTGTTTATAATTGACTATTTTAAATTATAAAAATGAAATGCTGTGTTTTAAGCTCTTCAATGGTTCCAATGAGATCACAAGTCATTTGTAAATTAAAATTTTTATTACTATGGATGTATAAAATGATCGAAAGACTAGTCAAAGCTTTGTTTTGACAAAATGACGGTTCCCGAAAATAGTTTTTATTAAACTTCTGGTGACACAAACTCGAAATTATATCAAAATCGTCTTTCGATAGATACACCCGTTTCGAAAACTTTCCTTACCGGCTCTAAAAACAGAGTTTCGAAAGACATGTTTAAAGTAAAATGGAACCGATTACACTAAGTTAAAGAACTCATAGGCTCATATCTCCGAAACTAATAGTTTAATAAACTTAAGTACAAAAATATGCAAAAATATATTTTGAAATTCAAAGTATAAATAACCACTTAATATTATATTTTGGTTTCAAAAGCTCCTTTATTTCATCGGCATCATCAACAGTCTAAATTTCTTTTATGTTTGCAAACAAAATTAATCTATCATTATTTCAATAGCTTATTGCTTATGCACTCATCCAGAATTGCCTCAATACTAAATTTGAGCCAAAATATTTCCCACAAAGTGCGAATATTCCCTACTGGGGTTATGGCAACAATATTCCCTATGCGCCCATCAAGTGGGAGGTATTTTGTGCCTCATTGCAGCTCCACCACATATCGTGATGGTGTTCGTTGTATTTCAATTTGTGTGTGTGGGTGAGCCAGTTGAGTTTTCACATCTCTTCAACAATATGCGGTATCTGCGCAGTATCGAAAGCAGATTATACCCCTAGAACACAAAAACAAACAAAACAAAAGCTCGCTTTGCAACGCACAACAGACGAGAGATCGGCAGCAGGTATTGCGAGCTGCTTGGGCATAACGAGTGGTTCTATTCAAGCGCTGGCAGAGATGTGTGACCGACCACCAAGCAGGCTGTAGATTAGCTGTTGTGAATGAATGACGGCGACTGGATTTGAATGAGATGGTTGAAACTTCGTCACTTAACTGAACACTAGCTCGTGACGTTTGCAAACGAGCTTGAATACACCCTTTGCTTTAATAACGCTCATTCAACAGGTTTTCACAAACGATTGCTTTTGCAATCCTCTATTTTCTATATATACTTGTAATATTTATTTATATGTGTTTGTTTTTTCCATATTATTTGCGCTCAAATGAACTCTAACGCGGCAAGTAAGTATGAATGAACTCTTGCCCACCTTCACAGTTAGTCGCCCATCTAAGGCCTGTAGACTATTTGGCGCAGCGCGCTCTACTCACTCGTTTTGCTCCCCACTACGACTGTTCTCTGCTCTGCTCACTAGCCATTGCTTTTGTCATGTGTTTTGTTTTCGCGGCATTTGGAGCTCATTTTGTGTACGCTTTGTTTTTGTATTGGTGTTGAGTGCACTTTGATTGGTTTCGAATTTCCTCGAATCAGCGCCGCAAATTAATGGGGCGCGTACGTGCTCTTATGAGATTGTTGTATTTGTGATGAAGTATTGAAGACAAGACGATTGAATGATGGCACGCCTTCTGAAGACTGCAGCTCGGAGATGTTTATGAATTTTCATATATGAATATATGAGTATATTTTTGATTTGTAAATGAACCGTATACGTATGTACATATATATATATTTATACACAAAATGAATGTATATATATATATATACATATAAAAATAGTATACAATTATATTTTAGGTTGCTATTCAATGCATTCAGTTGAGCTTATGTGTGAGCATAAACAAAGAAGTAAAATGAAAATGTATATTCACATGTATGATATGTAAAGTAAATATGACCCTCATTATGCATATATGCTACACAAAAGATAGTTATTATCTCGCGTCTAATTTTTCTGCATATACAAGCGAGTTTTAGCGGGCATTATAAATTATCTTAGACAATACGTGCATTTCTGCTTTTAAATGTAGATAATGGACAAAATACGGTATATTGAAAAGTAAAATAAAAAATAAAAGTATAAGTATATAATAAATAAGCGTACGCAATAATGCACTATAATGGGAACCTAATCTTCAGGCTTATACCTAGATACTTAGTGTAGACTACACAGATTCGAAATAGTAAAATAAAATATTTAAAAATTAAAATAAATATAAAAATATAAAAGAAAAAAGTTTTGTTTGCACCTAACTGTATATAATACCCTTCACAAAATTAATGTTTCCATAATGAATTTGATAGCATTATTTGATCGGTCAGTTTTTGTGGCAGCTATATGCTACAGTGTTCGATATCGGCAAATGAACAGCGTCTTGGAGAAAGGACGTGTGCAAAATTTCAGATCGATATCTTAAAATTGAGAGGTAGTTCTCGGAAAACATACAAACAGACGGCCGGGGATAAATCGATTCGGCTTTTCAAGCTGATCATTTATATCTATCATAATAACGTCTCCGATGTTTTCTTCTGGTGTTACAGACTTCTTGACACGTAAATACCTACATATATGTATATATATAATAATTTTTAATCATTAGTTTAACTAAGAAAACTTTTAATTTTTTGCATAGTTAAATAATAACAAAACAATATTTTCTTGCATTATAGGCTACAGCAGTAATCCGCATGATCACAGCAATAATAGCCCGCCCCGCAAACGCAACAACAAACGCAGATGCTAACAACAATGGATCGCTGATTTCGCATGCGCAGCACAGCAGCAGCAACAACAGTCCAACAAAGCAATCCCGCCGCGAACAGCAATCGTCCGCCGTCAACGCCAACCAGTCGGCCGGTCAGACGCCCAATCACAACAACAACAACAGTGCCAATATGAATTACATGCATGTGGCGTTACGAAACTCTGCTGCCGCGGCGCACTCTAAGCCAACATCAGATGAAGAGGAACCTGGCACACAGAACACCTCCTTATTCAAGTCTCGGCAGTGGCAGTAATGGTCAAACTGATCCGGCTGATCTCTCGTTTCGTCCGTTTACGGTTTGCCACCTCACCTCGCTGGTGCTGCCGCTGCGGCAGCTGTTGCTGCAGCCACCGGTGTACACTACGATGAATGATTATCAGCACGTCTCATCGCAAGAGCATCAGAGTTATCAGGACAACGCGCCGATTTCTATGGGCTAGCGAATAATGAACAAAATACAATGCCTACGGACGCTCACCATTCCCGACCTATGGATCGGAGTATGGTTCTTACGATCCAACGCGATTCTCGTCAATGAGTGGCCGTCGCCGGCAGATCAGGGGCTACATCATGCTGGGCAACATTCAGCCGCGTATATGAATACGATGAGCTTGGAGAAGGCGCTTATGGGCGCATATCCCGTAAGGTGGCGTGCCGTGCTTCACCGGCTCAGGGCCATCAGTTGTGGCAATTTCTTTGGAGCTACTGATGGATAAGACGTGTCAGGCATTTTCGTGGACTGGCGATGCTGGAGTTCAGTGACCGATCCCGATGAGGTGAGTTGTCGCGTGAGAAAAAGCTCACTTAAACTATAAAACAGACAGAGTCAGTGAGAAAGTCAACGTGAGGAAAAATTAAACTTTGATGGAAATCAAAAAGAGCAAAATTAGGTTAAATACGAAATTCTAAACTAAACTTATTACAATACAATTATTTCCAAAACAAATAAAATAACAAATAATAAAATGTCTACTAATATGAAGTATTCACAAAATCTGATGAGTCCTTCAAAACTAATGAATCCATTCGACCTTTCCAGGTTGCTCGTCTGGGTATACGCAAGAACAAGCCAAAATGAACTATGAAAAGCTCAGTCGTGTCTCCGTTATTATTACGACAAGAATATCATCCACAAGACGGCAGGCAAGCGCTATGTCTACAAATTCGTTTGCGATCTACAAACCTGATTGGGTAAGTTGTGTCATAGAGATGAGCGCATTCAGCAGATTTTAATTATCTCAACTTTTTCTTATTACAGCTACACGCCAGAAGAATTGTGTGCAAAATATGACCTCAAACGGACAAGAAAGATGATGATTAGATTGCTGTTTGAGGGCTGAACGCCTAGGCGGTAGACTAAAGTTAGCTATGACTACAGCAACGAGCCCCAAACACCTCACACGCAAACACATACCACACATGGAAAACTTAAAGCTGTCTATAATTGCGAGTACAAACTTACATGTCAAATGCTATGAGATCATCGAGCTAACCTCATTTGTGCTCCAAGTCCGCACATGTGGCAGCTCAAGTGCTGTTGTGGGGTTGCGGTGCATGCATTGAATGTGGATTCTTCCAAATGTGCTTGATTTTCGAAAGTACACACACATTGTTTACCATCATACATATATAGACGATATAACATATACATTTACAGTTGTAATTATATTTTAGTATGCATACATGCATATACTACATATAAATTGTTATTTCAACTACGTATTGCTATTTTCTGTTACTCATGTTTAAGTCTTAAGTCATTTAATTATGAATTCAATTAATTTGTTTGAGGAGATTACATGCTTACTTATATATATACATATAACTGTACATAGTGTGCTAAAGAACACAAGGCGTGCGCACGAAAATAAGAGAAATCCCAATAATCGTGATCTTAATTTTAAGTTTGCACAACAGTTTTACATTATTACATAACGTACTATAATTTATATTAAATATTCAAATATTTAGTGAGAAACGAAAATTAAATTTTTATGTTACTTTTTAAATTAAATAGCTGTTAGTAATTAAAAATTAAAAATATAAAACGTTGTATAAATTTCTAAATATGAAAGTTAGTGTGCTTGAATATAAAAATCAAAATATCTGAGTTTTAGTGCCTGTATTGTTTATAAAGCGCAATTTTAATATAAGTTAATTTAATTTAATAGTATATACTTTCAGAAAGTCGCTAAATTCAAAACGAAATTTAGTTTAAAAGTTGAAAAATATTTTGGGTCATGAAAAAAAATAAATATTTGCACAAAATGTAATAAATTTAAACAAGATTAATTAAAAATTAATAATAAATAATAAATAATTAAATTTAAAATTTAAAAACACAGACTTAAAAATAAATCAAATAAAAATAATTAATAAATTAAATTAAAGCAATATTAATAAAATAAAAAATATATTAAAATTAAAAAAATAAATGAAGTAAAATAAAATAAATTAAATAAATGAAAAATTCAAAAATTTAAACTAAAATTAAAATAAAACTAAAAATAAAATTAATTAAATAAATAATAAAATCGTAAATATAAATAAATAAAAACATAATAGATGTTAAAAACTTTACATTATATAATGGTAAATAAAAATTATTAATAGAAAATCGATGAAATGAAGTAAATAAAATAACACGTATTATATACACTAACTATAAACTAAAACAAATATAATCGAATGAAAAGAAGTGAAAGGAAATAAAAAGAAAATAAAGAAAAGGGAAAGAATGAAATAAATGAAACCATAAAGATTATATTAAATTAATATTAAAATATAAATAATAAATGGAATAAAAGAAGAAATAAAATTAATAGAAATTATATAAAAAAAAGTTAAATTTTAGTTAATTTTAGAATTAATGAAAAATAAATTATAATAAAATAAAGGAAAATAAATAAATGAAAATTTTAATAAAATTAACATAAATTAAAAATTTTAATTTTTAATTAAAATAAATAAAAATACATTAAAAATAAAGTAAAATAAAATTAAAAGAAAAATATATAAAACTAAATAAATTGAATCGAATGAAAAATACTAGTAATAATATTAATAAAATAACTAAATTAAATATAGATAATAAAATAATAATAAAATACAAAAATAAAAACATTCACAAATTAATGGACCATTTAAATTAGTCCAGATATTAAAAGTAAAGGTACATAAATTTACAACATGCTAAGAGTGAATACATAGTTAAAGTTTATATATAAAATCAACATCGTTCCGATGTGTGGAAAAATTGTTATGAGTCAAAGCTCAAAAATGATTTTTCAGCGATTTTCAAAATTAAAGATCATAAAATTATATTACTGAGCTTATTGTAAATTTGTAAATCTTTGGATTTTTAGATTGACCGATTTAAATATAATATACATACATACATATACAAATGAAAACTAACGACCGTTTAATTTAGATAAACAAACATATGAAAAGTAAAATCTGACATGTTTTTTATAAATTACTTTGATAATGTGCAATTAAACTAATTACAAATGAATAAAATGAAAAACAAAATTTCACGTGCTTTGATATTCGTAGTCCAAATTGCCATATAGACAAAGAAAACTTTACAATGAATATAAATATGTAGTAATATATTTAAACAATTTAAAAGGTGCAAATAATTTTGTACAAAATTAGCGCTACAACAAATTTCTACGTATTGCCCATCACATTTGAACCCCAGTACCGTTAAAGACTGCTGCAGTAAAAATAAGTAATATAACTGTTTTTATTTTAATTTAGGAAATATATGAAAATGCAATAATATAATCAAAAAGATTTTTAACGATGTGTACAAATGAAAAGATAACAAAAATAAATAATAAATAAAAGTAAATCAAAACATCATAAACGCACATTGTGATTACACTTAATTTTGTTAAACATAACAATAAAACAAAAATTTAAAGCTTAAATAATAATAACGAACGCTTTAAAGGCTAAAAGGTTACTACTACATTTCAATGAGAGTGCTTCCGCAAGTTTACAGACATTTACTTATAAATACTTACATATACAATATATTTTAATTTTGCTACTTTACTTACACACACATATATTTTACTATTATCTCTGGTATAGTACTACTGCAATAAGTTAAACTATATACATATGTAAATTAAGTATATATGAATAACAATAAAATATTTGTAAAGTATTAACCATTATTTAAAATATAAATTATTTGCAGAAATTAATATATTATTATTAATATTATTATTATTATTACTATTACTATGATAGTTGTCTTAAGCTTAATTTAATTAGCATTAACTAATTATTATGAAATATAAACCAACAATTCAAAGATATACTAACTCAAATTTCCAAAACAAAAGCTAGTCAATTATTTTAATTAGGAGCACACCAAGTGTAAATTAAAAAGAAAAAGTTAACTTCGTTTCCTTGACAAATGCAAAAGACTCTACAAAAACTTTATTCCCTTCGTTCAGTATGATGACAGCTATATGCTTTAGCATTGATCTGAACAATTACTTTGAGATTTTACCGTTGTCATGCAATTCGACGAACATAGCTTGTCAAATCAAGAAGTTTTTCATACAAGCTCTTAATTCCGATCTTCAGTTTGTATCGCTATATCTATAGCGTTCGATATCCCGTTCCGTTCACTCTTGATGACAAAGGGTGGAGAAAATTTATATCGATATCTCAAAACTGAGGCTAGTATATATCAGATCAGCTCGTCACCTTAATCATTTATATTTATATATAAACTTATAGGGTCTCTGACGTTTCTTTTGTTTTAAAATTTTGTAAACTAACTATTCAGTATAGTAAATCGATGACTGTAGTCAATTCAGCAATGAGGACTTTGTTTCAAATATTTGATTGTATATAAAATATGATAAAGTATTTTTAATTCATAATGCTTTTACTCACTAGATGTACCCTCGTCCGTAAATTTCATCAGAAAATGTTCAAGATTACTTTATGAGATATATAATTTTAGTTGCCCATGTTCTATTGGTTTTGAAATCTAGGGTTAATAAAATACAACTTTAGATCGAAAAATTCGGAATAGAAAACTCCAGAAAACGATTTCAAATGACCGTAAAATGAAGTTTTTGAGCTAGTCAAAATTCTAAGCAATCTGAGGAAAGTGTTGGCAAATAGTCTCGGCGAATTTGAATCTGAAATCTTCTTAGTTATATCCAACTCTCGTACTAACTACGGCCTCCATTATTATTATTATTGAACTGCAGCTTAAAAATTTAATAAAATGGGCGAAATTAGATCGCCCCAAATGTATACTATATACCTTGTATAAATAGCGAGTAATGCCACTTTATAACGAAGGCGAAGGCTCGTTCTGGTGACTTCATGAAACTTAAAACGTTCTATAGAGAGTCAAAATTTTCAAAAGCTGCGAATATTCTCAAACTTAGGTTGGTTGTAAATATTATAATTTCAACTGTTTTAAAATGATTATAAATAGTTAATCAACTGACTTAAAAATATATAAAACTAGAAAACTGTCATTATTCTTTGTATAAATTCCACTAGTTAATTCTTACCTCAAAATTTAAGTTTTTCCAAATTTTGCGATCTTTATATTCGATTTTCTGAGTTAGAAATTCCTAAGCTGAAGTCCTTGTCAATCAGTTGGAACCAAATATCATTTAAAGTTTTGAAAATTGTGTACAATAGATGTTTCTCAAACTGATGGCTCGCCGTTTAGATGGTGGCCTAGGGATCATCCGGTTGGTTGTTGATTTCAACTATAGACGCGTTTGTTCTCAGACATCATCCAGTTCCTTCCGTAGCTTTTAATATTATCGAAGAACTGTTGCTGCCTCCATGGATGTTCGTTACGTCGCCGCTGACGTTTTCTGTTTTGCCATTGTCTGCTTCATTTTTAGAACAATAGGTTTACTTAGTCCTGCCATAAGTTCTGTTACAATTTTAGGCCGATAAAAATGAAATTATAATACTTTTTTAACAAAGTTTATTATGTTTCATAATGTATCAATTTGTAAGAAATGATCAACGTTTGCTTTTACACAAACAATCCGACGATTGATCAATAGCAGCACGACGATTTCTATTGGTATCGACGACGCCGACGTATCTAAGTTTTTAAGACTCCAAATTTTCTGTGAGATCTTGATAAGCCATGCTCCCCATTTCTGTGGTCCAATAGGCTTAAATCTGAACTTCATCATTCATCATCAGCTGATGGTATGAAACCGAATATTGCTTTTAAGCCACCAATGGTGTTTTGTCTTGTGTGCTGAGTTGAACCTTACTGGAAGATCCAATGCACATTATCGATTGCTTAACTGCTTTATCACGCCTACGAAACATCGTTCTGGTGCACTTTCACCAGTTTTAATCCCTT